ATTCGTATTCTGATGAAGTGTTGAATAGTATTGGGATACACACATACACATATTGTATTATATTACTGATGTGTGATGCTCCTCAATGCTATTACAAGGTGTTTCGCCTATGCAATGCCTCTCAATGCTGTTAAACATGTTGAGTTGACCCTGCGGTCAATGCAATAAAAAAAACCTGCGGTGCTCTGTGATGTCTCGCAATTGAAAATTTGCGATTATATATAGTATATGTAGATGCACATATAAGGATTCCACACTTATGCTTGTTTTTAATATTTGTTACAGGGAACATATTTGCTTTTGGGCTGTTTCTTTCACCAATGTAAGTTTCATTGAGTTTGGTAATAATTGAATGTCAGAAAACAGGAAAGTGCAGTAGGATTTGTGTTCATTTACTCACCAGTTTGTGTTTTTAATTAACTTTATTTATTTTTACTTTCAGACACACATATAGAAGAATCATCAGAAACCGTTCAACTGAAGAGTTCTCAGGGCTACCATACATATATGCCCTTTTGAACTGCTTGATCTGCACATGGTATGGATCGCCTCTTGTATCTTCTGATAATTTATTGATCATGACGGTGAATTCAGCTGGTGCAGTGTTTCAATTAGTCTACATAGCCCTCTTCATAATATATGCTGAGAAATCGAAAAAGGTCACACATCCCTTCAAGATCACTCACACTTGTTACTTTGATCAAGTTTCTGAAACCCTTCTTATGTTCTAAACTGTCATGAGTTCCCCCTTAATGTTGCTGCCAGGTGAGGATGCTGGGATTTCTGTTGGCAGATTTTGGTCTATTTGCAATCATAGTTTTTGGGAGCTTGCAAATGACTGACCTTGTTATGCGCCAGCTGATTGTTGGACTGCTTAGTTGTGTTTCTCTCATATCAATGTTTGCTTCTCCCATGTTTATAATTGTAAGTTAATCCAGGCATTGATGATCTGTGTCGTTAATTTGGTATTAGTGTGTCTTACTCTACTTACTTTGTTATATTTTTGCAGAACTTGGTGATCCGGACAAAGAGTGTCGAATTTATGCCATTTTATCTCTCCCTTTCTACCTTCCTAATGAGCACGTCATTCTTTCTTTATGGAATTTTTAATTACGATCTCTTCATTTATGTAAGATTCCGTGAGCTCATTCTCTCTCTCTCTCTCTCTCTCTCTCCCCTTAATTTTTTTGCAAAGCTGTTGGAGCTGTGAATTCAGAATACGTATTCCTAGTTTCCCTTGTCTAACAGTATCTTTCTTTATGAATTTCAGGTTCCAAATGGCATAGGAACCATTTTGGGGATTGTACAATTAGCTTTGTACTTTTACTATAAGGATTCATCTAAAGAAGACTCCAGAGAACCGTTGATAGCTCCATATCCATAAGTTTTGCCAACAAGAAATGTGCACATGTTTTGTCTTTGAAGTAAGTGTTATTTTCTATCTATTTTATTCTGTGAGGCGGTTCTCTATTATTGTTGTGGTTTTATAGCAACCAGAAACCATCGCCTTCTCATTTCTTGCATGTACAATCCTTCTGAGTGTAAATTTACACAGATAGCTGCTATGTTCTACTTTTTGCATGCAAAGAAAATGGTGGCCTGGCTTTCTCTGCATGGACGTGTAAAACATAAAGCTAATTTTATACCAATCTAATTCATCCATGGCTGCCCTTTTTTTTCTTTTTTTTTTCCCTCCAATAGGTAAGAGAAGATGTTATCTTGACATAACAAGGCAAGAAGGCAGAAGCAAAGAGTGGTGCTTCCAACTCGAAAACTAAAATCATGTTCTTCAGCCTGTCAAGCTCCTCTGTGCCAGTGATCCCCCTCCCTCTCCCTCTCCCTCTCCCCTCCATCTTCAGTTGTCTACATGTGAAAGTGCATCTCGTGTATCATAGATATTTAGAAAGGGTTATTGGTCAAATTTTTCCTCGATTCATCTGTAGCATTCATGAATTGGTATGAGTTCAACAAAGTAATTGTTTAAGATCATCAAATCAACTTCTGGTCTTTCGTCAAGTTGAAACCTCTAAAGCCTTTTTATATGGCTTAGCAGCTTCACTATGGGTATCGATCAAGGAATAGAACCAAGTGAGGTCAAGGTCCAGATATGAAACCCACCCTGCATGATTCGTGCAATCAATAAAGTGCTGTGGTATCGATTTCACTGTCCTTTCTCAGGTTATTTGTTTATGTAAGTTGTGATTGTGCCTACCTCATGCAATATAATCTTCTCGTGTTTCTATTTCATATTCTTGTAGGGAATGCAAGAAAATTCAATTGTCTTCTGAATTCTAAAATTTCTTGCATGATAACATAAATGTGTAACGTGTTAAATTGGCAAATTAAGTGAGAACAGATCGTCTAGCCTCCTAGGTGCACATTGAATATGTTTCTGGCTCTCTTCCCCTGATATTTCGTCTGTCATTGCATACAAAACCTTCATGATGTACAGCACGGTTGATAGATCGCATGGTTGAATTTAAGTTTCATGTATCGTCTTCATTTTTCCTTTCTCAAAATTTTCGGTTGTCCCACTTACGTGCACCTAATTAAAAATTGCCACATTAATTGGACAAAATTGCTCATGAAAATTGAGAGAAAAACATGTTCATAAAAAATGCTACAGCTGTGCACATAATGGGTGTTGTTATTGCAGAAAATGACTGGCCCATATTACAACTGAAACCCCAACCACTCTCTTTTGCCAAAACTATTTCTAACATTTCTGCAGAGAAAATTACAGCAAGTCCCTCAAAGTTGTTCTTGTAACAGCAGCTGTTTTTTCCTGCACAAAGTATGTTGATTGAGAAACAAGCAACAAATTCTCAACAACAACAAAAAGCATACACTTTCGGGTCTGAATTTATAGAGAGAGCATGCACAAGTTGATTGAACGGATGGAATTATAAAATGGTAAAAAAATGATCATTTCTTTTGCTCCAGCAGCAACCAAGAAGTAAAATTGAAAGAAAAAGTAGTGCATTGGTAAATTTGATTTACCTGGTTTCTGGTTTCTTTGTGGGAGTGACAAAGAGGCAGACCTCTTTCATCATAGAGAATAAGGCCACTGAATCTTGGAAGCTCACATTTCTCCCCCATAAGTATAGGCCTTTGCCACACAGGGGAGTCTGAGTTATGGCTTCGCCACCCCACTTCAACTGCAACCCTTTTGTCCAGCAGCGGCCGCGGCGTCTCTCTCCAACTCCCACCCTGCTGTCTCTCCTCCTCCCACTTGCTGGCTCTGCTCCACCGCACCGTGCTCACCAACGCCCCCTTTATCGAACCCCAACCGCAACTTGGCTCAGAGCCAGACCATTTAGGACCTGTTGCTGAGGTCTCTTGTTGGCTGCTGCTCATCACAATCTGCTGCTGTTTTCTCTGAGCCTTCTTTAGTAAAACCGTTGTGGCCATGCAAAGACCAATGACAGCAAAGGCAGCAGATACCAATAGGACGAAAGCTTCTTGGGTTGACAGCCTCCACTTGTCTTCTAAATTCCACAAAGCTTCCATGCCTTTTTTCCTTATGCATATAACAAAAAAGACCAACTCTGGTTGATTTGGAAAGGTAGAATGGAATGATATCTTTTTGGGTGTAGACATAGAAAGGTGCAAGCAATAACTTTTCTTCAATATTATTTTAAAATTTTGCATTGATGGTGTTGTGTTCACGTGAGGTCCACCGCCTAGCTGGGGGCTTGCTTGGTCTCTGCTGCAGGGCTTTGGCTTAGCCTAGCATAGCTTGCTTGCTCAGGGGAGAAGGGGGTGCTCGTGCTTGTTTGAGTTTCAATTCAACCAACCGTTGGGAAATAAGAACGGCTCACCGTTATGGCTCTTAATTGCAGTCACGAGGTCTACAAGGTTGTTATTAAAACTCTTAAATAAAACATGGCCCTTCTTTCTGTTTATTTTTCTCTTGGATCCGGGTTTTATTTTTAATTTTATATGATCGATATTGGAGAAGAGGGACTTGAACACAAGACATCAAATCGGGATTATTAACTCTGTTGTGGTTGATGCAGAGTTTCAGAAGCTGTTAATTCAGCTGACTGCTTAGACTGTAAAAAAAATGTGTCTGCAAGAAATTAATAAGTGAATTTAGAGACGTAATGGGATTGATCTGTAAACTTAATATTGGGTAAAACCATAAGAACCCAATCCATGACCCAAGATCTTGAACTTCATGATTTTCACAATAACATTAAGCGGAAATTCAATTAGACTTAAATTACATACATACCTTAAATGATTAGTCTTCTACCATATCAAGATATTTGCCTTGAGCGATCTGTAGGTGAGCCGTTAGTGTGGAACAAATAGATTTCTCTCTCTAGCCTTTTGCACGTTTAGAAAAAACCCTAATACGTGTCTTCATCAGCATACACATAAGATGGGTATGTGCACTATTATAGGCAGAGAGAGGACCCGTTTTCTAGTAAAGCCCATAATCAATTACCACCCATCACGGTAATAATAGGAAACTACTTCTCTTTATTTGACCAATATCATTATTCTGAATAATATTTATTAAACCAATTAAATAATTTATTTACCACATAAGTCACTTCATGTGGGCCACACAGAATATTTATAAAATATTCTTACATTCTCCCACTTGGCCCATATGATAAATTTACTTTATGGTTCAATAAATAAATATTAGGCGCACGATACATTCAGAATAATCCTCACTTTCATATGGTCAACATAAATAAATACCGCATTTAAGCAATTTTCTAATGCGAGTCATGGCGGTTATGCATCAATAAGTGATACAATCCCTTCCATGTACCACAACATTAGCAAATCACCTAAAACAGTCCATAAGTGAGAAGTATCATAAAAGGTCCAATAATGTCTTTGTCAGAGACTACTCCTGTTATCATTCATCCAATCTCATTCATGTATACATATAAGGGAAAACAGGATATAACAGAAACATATTCAATTATTGAGCTCAGAGTGTCAAAATAAATAAACTGTCATTATGCAATCCACAACATCATAAATACTATCATGGTTTATGACCAAGAACAGTCCTCTCAATATAACTATTAATGTCTTTGGCTAGAACCTTTTACTTGGTTTGCAAGCATAAGTTTTGTCTTTATAGATACTATTTGTTTCTGAACCTCCTTAATGACAAGGTATTTAATTCCACTATGTTTAGCACTCTTAGAACACTTGTCATTCTTGGAGAAAAGGACAATTGCGGTATCAACATAAATTCTTAGCAGCGTGGCAATAAAACATAAACACCAAGTCCTAAGATTAAAACTCGCAACTTCAATTCATCAAATATGGCCTCAAAGCAAACCATATATGCATAATGAATTCTCATTGTACTGTTAATATTCCAATTCACTCTTATGGGCCTAATGCTAAACTTGTTCCCTTCCTGAATTGGAGCAACATTAATGGATAAACATTATCCCATATCATGTCTCTTTAGAACACTTACAATATATGCTTAATGAAACAAACTTAACAATTCATGTGATCCATTCTGGAATATTTCAATTCCAATCACAAAAATTGTCTCATCCATATATTTCATTCAAGGTTCTTAGAGAAAAGCTTAATGGTTTCAACAATGAAAACCAAGACCAATATATAGCAAGCAAAATAGCATAAATATCCAAAATGAGAAATATAAACTTACTCCCACTGACCTTGAGATACATACAACAATTAATAGTGCTTTCATTAAAAAATTAAAAAATAAGAAAATATTATGATATTAAACTTTGCATACCATAATAATCACTAATTATTAATTTTATACAGTGAATTCTTCAATTCACAAAGCATGTGTTTCTTTCAATAAAAGAAAAGTCCTCGAGTTCATTCATGCAGACTTCTCTATTAAACACTCATCTAATATTTTATCTTTCACATCCATACAGTGTAACTCTAATTCATAATGAGTTACGAATACCACTATATGATTCCAAGTGAGTCATTCTTAGAAACAAGAGAGAAATGTCACTTTGTAACATATGCCATCTTTCTTAGTAAGATCGTTGGCCAATAGTGTGTCTTTATATCCATCTATATTGTCATTGGAGTTGTATGTAGTCATGAAGACACTCTTACACACAACTCGTCCTTTGCAGGCAAATCGATGAAATCACAAACTTCATTTTGGCAAATTAATTTCAACTCATGTTTAACAACATGTGAAAATAAAATCAAAATCTTTCGTAACACTCACTGTCAGATTCTTGTAGATATACCAAATAATCACTTAGAGTAGCAGATCAACACGCTTAATGTCTTGATATCATCTTAATGCTATTCTTTGTGGGTCTTTACTACACTTTCACCAGTGAAGTAGTCATAATGTAGTGATTAGTTATTCATTGTTGTTAAAACTGTAGGAATAACAATTTCATTATGAAGTACGCATGCAAAAATTTGCACACTAACTTTTCATAAAACCAATTTTCTTGGTTATCCACTCCCACTAATTTCACCATTTAAAATGAAACTGACGTTACTTATTTCAATAATCTCATACCATGGTTAGGATAATAAAATCTATACCATTTGTACTTTTCTAGGTAACCAATAAGGTTATTAGAAAACATTCTGAAGGTCCAATCCCTTCTCATGTGAACATTACATTCTTACTCCCACTAAGCAACCCAAAACATAATGGTGCCTTAAACTGGATTTCCTTACTTTCTGCAATTCAAATAATTTCTTATTTGAAATTGCCTTAATAGGAACCCAATTAGCATAATAGTTGTAGTAAGAATATGTATCCATAATGGTATACATAACGATAAATTACTTCACATACCCCTAACTAAAGGATAGAGCATTATAAGGTGAACACATGTTTTATAAATAATTTCAATTAGCTAAAAATTTCTTATGGCATCTTTCTTGGTGTATTAAAATTGTTTTCCTTAATACAATCCACTTACACACCAATAAGAGATCAATAAAATATAGGTTCAGAAGAACCTCATTCCTTACTGATCCCTTAGTTCTTTTTCTGAACACATTACCAGTCATTTATGACATAAGAACATTAAATTTTAATTTGTCAAATAGCAGTCACTTCTAAATCAATCATGCAAAGTATCAAAACATTTAAAGAAAATATAGGCATCATACTTTAATTTCATAAATCATTAATAGAATACCATAATTAACAAAATAGGCATTCTTTAAGAGACTAAAACAGTCATCACCAACCTTTGAAGGATAAAACATTATTGCCAAATTCCAAACAAAATTCCAACTAGATTTGAAACAGTAAGAACATAATACGCTTTCAATAAATCTAAATCATGGCCATTAAATTGAATATATAATTCCAAAAAGTGAAGTCAAAAGCAACTTTGCATTGAACTATTAGAAACATGAATTTTAGCACATAATTTAATCCATCAAGCATCATATGAAAATTCATCTAAAAATTGATTCGAAACACATAAAAGCGGAAGACTTACCTTTCTTTTCGAATCATATTCTGTAAATGCTTCACCTTCTACATAGGTGAATTTCGTTTTCCTTCTTCTTCATCTCAAGGACTTCAGTTTTGCCGCTAAATCAGTATGCTGAATAATGCACTCATTCATGCTTCGCAAACCATCAAATTTCATGATGGTAAGGTCAACCAATATTGTCCATGTAATGGATTTGTTAGCAATTCTCAAGAATTCTTTAGCATTATTCACATTAATGGAGCATAGCCTTAATTTATATTGCAATGTCTATTTATTTGCATAAACATAAAGCTCAATATGTTTGATCTTTTACAGGCTCTTTAATCCTCAATGCTTTACCATAATAGCAATGAGTTTCTCATTTTGAAATGCCTAATCAAGACATAGAACACTTTGGTGATACTGGACTTGTTCACGACAAAATGAAAAATTAAATCTAAACTAGATCAAAGCGAACCTGAAAGCGACATTGCAACATAATTTGTAATATGCTCAGAATACTAATGCTTTGAGTGACAAACACGTACAAACATATATAAGACTTATATAGTCTGACCATCAATAGACGTATCATCATAACTCTCCTTTGGGATAAATTATGACAATACCAATAATTAACAATTATGATGCATCTATATTTTACATTATTGTAAATGTATATTCCTAGTTAGAAAAGCTTTGATATCTTTGGATATCCAAAACAAATCTAAATAAGACATATACAAGTTACCTCATTTATATCACTAATCATATGAATAGTGGATCCACCTTTGGGTGATCCATATATCTTATGAATGACGAAAATCAATATACTCATGATGTTCGAACCTTAAAAACATTATAAGGTTCAACCTCATTTATATGCATCCTTAAATCACAAGTAATTGATTAATTATCATTTAATTTGATATTCAAGGAACATTCTAGCTTGGCCACTTTGGTGACTAACAAACCATTCATAATATGAACGTCAAATTAAATTAACAACTGTATTAGTTAATCAATTACATAAGATTAACTAATACACTTTAATGATTAATCGATCATTAGATTAATTAATTTGATATTCAAGGAACGTTCTAGCTTGGCCACTTTGGTGACTAACAAACTATTCATAATATGAATGTCAAATTAAATTAACAGTTAATGGATTACATAAGATCAATTAATACACTTTAATGGTTAACTGATCATTAGATTAACCAATAAATATATGACCTTTTAACACAGTAGTGGGCAATAGACCTTTAGATTGCCTCGCTTCATAAGACAAAGTACAGTGACAATGAAATACAATATGTTCAAGTATATTTATATTATAATAACTTTAATTCATTGAACATGTCTACACCAGGATTATACCATGAGTTCATAAGTGGTCATATATTTAATAATACATCAATTCATTAAGATTTCCACATAATAATATAAATTGACAGTAAAACTGGTATTATTTCTTTATGTCTTCATCATAATTAATGAAATCATAATTTGCCAATTGACAGATTCGTTTTTCAATTTGAAAATAATCATGTAGCCAAGTAAATGCATAGCCATTAGCACTCCAATTCAATTATGCAAAACTGACTGATATGTAACCAAAAGCACTTACACCGAGACATAATATGCTTTAATAACATCGTATATACAAATATATTATCTCTCTAATGCAATTAAAATACATAATTGCAGGCACATCCATATGATTGCACGGTGAAGATATGCATAGAGAAGCATGTTAAAACGACTTCACGGATACAGCACCAGAACCAAAAGGAAATAATATTCATAAGATTGACCATTCATGCTGCCAACTAAATGAAGGTAATCCTTCTTGGTTTAATGGTACATATTTCATACGGCACAACCAATACAAACATATATATGATTCAAATAAGTATAAATCAAATCGTAAAATTCATAATGGAAAATCATGAAAGTTCTTAACCATGCCCTGATACCACATGTAAATTTAATATTGGGTAAAACCATAAGAACCCAATCCATGACCCAAGATCTTGAACTTCATGATTTTCACAATAACATTAGGCAGAAATTCAATTAGACTTAAATTACATACATACCTTAAATGATTAGTCTTCTACGATATCAAGATATTTGCCTTGAGCGATCCGTAGGCGAGCCGTCAGTGTGGAGGAAATAGATTTCTCTCTCTAGCCTTTTGCACTTTTAGAAAAAACCCTAATACGTGTATTCATCAGCGTACACATAAGATGGGTATGTGCACTATTATAGACAAAGAGAGGACCCGTTTCCTAGTGAAGCCCATAATCAATTACCACCCATCATGGTAATAATAGGAAACTACTTCTCTTTATTTGACCAATATCATTATTCTGAATAATATTTATTAAACCAATTAAACAATTTATTTACCACATAGATCACTTCATGTGGGCCACACAGAATATTTATAAAATATTCTTACATGATCTTCATGTGCCTACACATTTTTTTTTGATAGTGTACTACTATGTGCTTGATCTGGAATTTTCGGTAGTTGGATTTATAACATTGCTGCGTTGCATGTGACAATCAAATCAAGGTTAACTTATGCTTATAGCTGAGATCAGTCACATACCAAGAAGAATTCTGACTTTTTTTTTTTTTTTTTTTATACCAGAAAAGAATTCTGACTTATGACCTATTTCAATTTGGGAAGATAAATACTATTATAGAAAGCTCCTAACTTTGTTAGAAACCTATACCCTCCGTTTGGATAAAAGAATTGAAAATTGTATAGAATTCTAAAATGACGGAATTTATACTTCCATCATTTCAATTTATCGCAATTGAATATTTAAGTGCTTGGATTTATGCATGTCGAATTCTGTAAATGACATAATTTTGTAAATGACACTATGAAAATTATGAAATGAAGCATATTTTGGTGGAAATTAAACTCGGGAATTTGATGTTCCAATTTCCACGATTTTTTTTGTGCGTCATTTAATATATTCCGCTCTTAAGTTGTCAAATAAGCGAATTGTTAATTTCTCCTATTAAATTCCCAACTTTTAGCTAAAAATTTTGAGTTATTTTCCCTCATCCAAATGGAGGGCTATAGTAATCATACTCGCGTCCCATAATTCGTCGACCGCAATATTAGAGCTACTTTATTCTTAAATTCACTGAATCTCCATTATTAGTAAAAAAAAATGTCATTAGATCGAGAATTAGTTGATGTTCTAACAGTGTACCCAAACAGTTTTATTAACTCAATGTCTATATTTATTATACAATATCTATTATTTAACATAAAATATTTAGTATTTCATATCTATCTACGAGCCGGTTAAGCTATAAACTCAAATGAAATTTTTTTGTTTATGATTCAGATGAGTTCAAATTCAACCCTAAGAATTTGATTGGGTTAGTAACTTTTTAACCAAGGCTCAATAATCCATCCATGTGGTTATTTCAAGTTAAGTTAGTAAAAATCATCCAACTCTTGGTCTAATAATATTTCTCTTCTAATTTTGAAACATGAATTAGCCTTTAGGTTCGAATTTCCCATTGATTAAAAAAAATAAAAATAAAAATAAAGTCCCGGCTGGTTTGGGTTAAAACTTAAACACGTTCAAGCTGGACTGATAACACCATCCGTGAATTTTTTTTGGGCCCAATATTTTCCGGCTAACCAAAAGAAAGAAAAAAACAGAAAAATAAAAATTGAATTTCTATTTCCATCTCTCTCCCTTTTCGTCTCCTTCGCAAACCCACCGAGGAAATCCTCAGCTAGGGTATTTGAACCGTTCCGAGCTCGTTTCGACCCAGACTCCATGACCAGGAGCCTCTCCTAAAGAGTCTTATAGCGCTCAAACTTCAGAAAGGTCCATAATTTCGATAACTCATGCCCTTTTCTACGGTTTCAATTACAGTAATGGAGTTTCACTTACTTTAGAGTAAAAAATTAATTGTTTTTTTCGTTTGCCTGACGAGAAAGAGAAAAGATGATCAATTTGTTTGGAATGTGGTTATCCGAGGTTGGTTCAGTCCTGTTGGGTTGTATAAATTGGGAACTCTGGTTTTATTTCAATTTATTGCGTTTTCTTGGCAACAAAACATAGGGTTTGGTAGATGGCCTTAGATTACGATGAAGGGTTATAATTCTTGCTGCGTGGCCTTGATGAAGGTTGCTGTTATTTATTAATTTTTATAAAGTTAAATGGGTTAGAAGTGAGAGCCTCAGAGATACATTGTGGTGTATTGTATGAGAATTATGCCTTCGAATGTTTAAGAATTGAGACTCTAGCTTAAGGGTTTGATTGTTCAGCTAACGTTTTATGTTTGATGATGGTTATTAGATATACCTTGGGAGATAATTGAGATTAGTTTTGATGTCATTCAGGTTTGATTACTGAAACGTGCTTGGTTGATACTTTGAAAAAATATTTTCATAGTTGAGTCTTTGAGTGAAAGAAAATCATGTCTGGAAGAAATCGTGGACCGCCTCATGCTGGACTTCCCCCCCAGGTCCATGAACCATTTGGAAGAGGACTTGGGCCGATGCCCCATCCAGCATTACTCGAGGAAATGAGAGAATCCCAGCTTGGAATGGGTCCCAGACCACTTCCCCCTCACCCTGCTATAATTGAGGAGCATCTTGCGGCTCAACATCAAGATATCCAAGGTCTTCTAGTTGGTAACCAAAGGCTTGCTGCAACCCATGTTGCACTAAAGCAGGAATTGGAAGCTGCCCAATATGAGTTGCAGCGGATGGTTTACCATGTTGATTCACTGCGGGCAGACAAGGATGTTCAAATGAGAGATTTGTATGAGAAGTCTGTTCGTTTGGAAGTGGACCTTCGTGGAGTGGAGGCTATGCGGGCTGAGCTTCTTCAGGTTCGTGCTGATATCAAGGAGCTCACTGCAGCGAGGCAGGAGCTCTCGGGCCAGGCACAAGCAATGACACAAGATTTGGCTAGAATCACTGCTGATTTGCAACAGGCACCAGCTTTGAGAGCAGAAATTGAAGCTATGAAACAGGAATTGCAACGGGCTAGGTATCTATTGCATGATTTATTGTTATGCTTGAATTTAATGTTTATATTTTGATTAATGTCTACGGTTGGTTTGCTTAAATTTGATGAATTTTTGTTGGCATTTAGAGCTGCCATTGAGTATGAAAAGAAAGGATATGCAGAGAATTATGAGCATGGCCAGGTGATGGAAAAGAATTTGATATCGATGGCTAGGGAGCTAGAGAAACTTCGTGCAGAAATTGCAAATACTGAGAAAAGAGCACGAGCTGCCGCTGCTGTTGGAAATCCAGGTATACGTTATGTTTTTGGTTTATGTTGTTAATTACTTTTATTTAAGATTTTACCTTTTAAATGTTTAAAGAAATAGAAATAAAAATAAAGAACTGAATCTCATTGAAAACACCATATCAGTAAATAGGAGGAAACATTAACAAAATATAAGTAACATTCTTAAAAACTTGGAAAAAAAAAAATCACGTCTGGGAAGCTCAATGACAAACTTTTGACGTGTACTGTGTACTGAAAGCTCAACCTTCCTTGAGCGGTGTATCAAAATGTACAAGCAGCTCAATAAAAATCTAATGGTCATTTGTTTCTTGACTATCCTTTTATCATCATCCAAGTTTCATAAATTTGTCATTCACTTAAAATATCTTCTCGTATTGTAAAGTTTTAGTCTCAATGAATGTTCTAGTCTATAAATGGAATGATTTCTAATTGGATTTATTGAGGCTCAGCCATGTCTCAAAACATGATGCAAAACATAAAAAGGAGGCCATGGACAACTTGCTGAGTCTACTGACTTAAACGTTAATATTGTTTAGTTCGAATACTGACTAATGTCTGTTAAAAGCCCACATCATCGGAGGGTTCAATTTGCTCCAGTTTCACATCTTGCAAGATTGATTGATGGTTTAGGCCTATGTGATTATCCTGTACTTTCTGAACTTCATTGTCACAATTACATTGAAGCCAAAATCACAAATAGATGATGATGATCATTTTAAAATTTTATTTTCCTTGCAGCTTGGCATGAAATTTCTGTTGATTTTGTTTTTAAATTTTCTCTACAGGTGTAGGTTACAATTCAAATTATGGAAACCCTGAAGCAGGATATGCAGGAAATCCCTATCCTGCCAGCTATGGCATGAATCCCGTATGTTTTGCTCTCTTTCATGATTTAATAAAAGGCTCGCGTGTGTGCATGCCTGATTAAAGTATTGATGTTTCTTTTGTATGTGTCTTTGCATTATTGCATATCTTTGTAAGCTGCAACTGCTTGCTATTATGTATGCATCATTTCTTTTAAAAAATGCCTGGATATGTTAAAGTTCCTCTCTCGATTTTCAGGTACAGGGTGGTGCTGAAAGTTTTCCTCAATATACACCAATGCCTGGTTCATGGGGTGCATATGAAATGCAGCGAGCTCAGGGACATAGATAAACTTATTCATCCGTGATACCGAGCTGTGTTCTGACCGGTATCTTGGCTGCAGCGTATTAGACACTTAGGTCTGTGATTGAAGTGTTATCTCATAGTAGACATTTTGGAAAACTTTCTTGTTTATTTGGTCATTAGTAACTGTACCTAAACATATCACACATCATATTACCTTGATGGTGCAGTACACTATTCATATGTGGCGTTCTATGATGCAAATATTTGCACTATCTTCCCTAAATGCATTTCATTATGATCTCAATGTTTCTTGTTCTTATTTATATAAAATTTGCTGCCTATCGTATATAAATAGTTTATCGCTTTTCCAGAACTTTTATTTCTTTTGCGCTCTTCATATTTGAGATATTTAGTTTGTAAGGGTTTATTGTTGAATTCTGTGTCTTCTGAAGCAAGAACTTTGCTAGTTCTATTCACAGCTCTAAGTTTTTCGTCGGATAAATGCCAAAATTTCAGTTGTCCCTTGATTGTGAATTTGTCACATTTACTTGGGAACTCCTTTACATAGCTAATACCACATATTAATATTCTTCATGTAATGATCGTTATATATTAATTTACTTCCTCTATTATTACTTGTTGTTTAAGGTTCTTACAGAAGAACTTTGTCGTTTAAGGTTAGTTTCTTGTTGCATCTTATCTGCCAATACATTTAAAGGCTCAATTAGGTTTGTGCTAAGGAAGCTTACTTTCCTGTGCAATTTGGAATATTGCATAGTGATCTTATGTATTATCTGACTGTCTTTAAAGAATAGTCCTTTCTCTCTTGTTTTTTAGGACCATACATGTAATAATTTTTTAGCTTCTAAGCATCTATCTTTTGACCTTGGGTTCAGTATGTGCCCTCTAAGACATGTCCGTTACCTTGGTCAAGCAAACTTTTTAGTTCCTATTCCTTCCAGCTTTTCTAATCATATGTCTGGTTTTTAGTGAACTAATACTGATATAGCCTATAGGCATTATAGGGTGTAGGTCTCCAGGACCCATGAGTTAAGAATTTTAAAAATATTTTCAAGGAGGATATATATGTTTTCTGTTCTTTAAATTTTGGCTTTCTTACTCCATTTTCCAGTAGCCACCAGGTTTTTGGGACTTCAAGCGAAAATGTTGTTAATCTCATGCCAAATCACTTCTGGACAGTGCTTCAGTCATGTGGGTTGGAAACCATGATCCTCACCTCATGTGAGGTGGGCGAGAAACCAATTGTTTAAGAATGTTTCTAAGTTGATATTTGACAATTTTGGTGCAACTTCTTCAATACATATGAGAACTCAAGTCCAGTAACATATTAGGTTGCCTTTTCTTCTTTGTCTATTACTCTCCTTATCTGAAAGGGAGCTAGAGTTCAATAACAAATATAAGCACTTGGTGCAATTTGTTTTTTCCTAGCCTACCATCAAGAATTTTTTTTCCTTTTCCTATGCCTAGGGTGTCACGAGCTCATTTTGTATTAGGCTCTATACTGTTATTATTCTGTTCGTGTTGACTACCATGTCCATTGTTTTACATTTCGGTTTATCCATTTGCTCATCATAATTGGATACTGGTATGTGCTAGCCAGCAGAAAACTCAGGAAAGAAAACTTTTCTTAACATTCCTGTAAAGGAAGCAAATATCACACACATTCTAAAACAAACATTCTGAAACTAACTACATTGTGTTTGTATAGCCAACATTTAGATCACCACGGTGGTGAATCAACTCTTTCTGTTATGTATTTGATGTTGTGGAGATTTTCTGGATTGATACCAGTGGTTAACTTTTGGCTGTCTTTAGTGAGACTGAGAGTCTTACTGCGAAAATTTAGTCAGACATTCTGTTCAAATGCATGTTAATGTATTTAAAAGAGTATGCTTTGTGGTGTAGTCATATCTGTTTCAGTTCGTAAACTAGGAATGAAGTATTTTTGTTGAATGTGTAGGAACTGTGGCAATCTCAATTAACAGTGAAACTGCATGTAGAATTTCCTGTTGGTATCACAAAGCATACTCAAAAACAGATCAGTTACGTATTATATTTAGATATCATAGATGTAATAGAGTTCATACAACATTGTTTTATTGTTAATGCTAATAACCAAATTCATGAATAAGCTAAGTTGCGTTAGTGATACAGATTCCTAGACATGGAAGAGTTAGAAGTGCAAGTGTTCGCAGTGGATGCATAAAGTTCTTTGTTTAAATTTGTTAGCCACTAGATTTATTGTAGTTGTATTGTTTTGACATTGTTGGGTGGTTTATGTAGCTCCTTCGGGGTAGACCAGACTAACAAAGTGATGTTGCTCATGAGTGCGCTTTACTAGTTATCCTCAAAATCACATCCTATAATCAATCACCAGTGCAGCCTCCCTGTGGATTTTGAATGAGCTGTACCCCCTGTATCTGTTTCAAGTCAGCTCACACGACTTATAGTTTGAGTTTTTATTTCTTGTATCTATTTTCTTTGTAGTGGAACAATTAGTTTTTTGGCATGGCTGCAAAAATCTTAGTATAGTGCTCCCTCTGTCCCTGTCTCTCTCTCTGTCTCTGTCTCTGTATGTCTCTCTCCTCCCTATTCTCTCTCATTGTGCATGGCTTGTGTAAGGAGAGGCCTTCATTTTTCCTCTTCCCTTTTGACTGGATCATCCTTGTAGGTTCTATAGTCATTCATTCCATTTATTAGGACTGTGGCAAGACAGAATTTGTGAGGCAGGAGGAGTCTACTGGTTGAGGGCATATAGCTTTTAGTTGTGAAAACATGACCTCTTTTTCTTATGGGTTTTACCATGAGTTTGGTACTCTGTAAGGAAAGGAATTCTTTCCATATCTCGCTTCTTTTAGAAGAACAACAGCAAAAATATAAGGGAAGCAATGTATTCATAGCATGTGGTATGCTGTTCATTGGGAAGACACTCAACAATGGAGCTGCAGAATCAGTTTCTGGTCAAGTAAGTGATTTAAATTTCTGACCCTTCACAGTCGGTTATTTCTTTGTTCTTTGTTTTTAAAAATTAGGTTTTTCATTAGAACCAAACTGATAGGTTTTGCGCCAAAGCCCCTTGTCAATGGAAATTTGTTGGGAAACTCCTTATGATCTGTGATGGAGGTAGTTTGATGTAATTTCCTCTTTTTTCCCTCTTTGACATCTGTTGGGCCTTAGACTTCAAATACAGGGAATAGTGTTTTTTTAGTTGTCTTGAAAGTTGCACCTTGGCAGCATTGCAGGATATTTTGTTTGCTTCCTTATTGGGATGGGCAAGCTCTGACTGATTGGTATCCCTTGTCTGCTATGTGTGTATTTAGTTTAAAGTTAAGTTGGAGTTTGCTTTCCTTTTTTACTACAATGTATTTTTCCATAAATTGTTTGAAGCAAGTAATGCTGGATATGAAACTGGATAGCATTTTGGTAGACACAAACCATTTTGTGGTCAAGATTGGATATTGAGTTTAGAATGAAAGGCTTTACCTCGAAGCACTGAGTTCTCTTGTTATAAACTTAATTGAATATTGAAGCTTTTGTTCAGGAATATAAGGTTGTAGTGAAGTAGCTGAGTTGTAGTGCGCTATAGAGCTTAATATCACCATTAAATTGATATGAATTTGAAAGTACTGAATATATGAAAATTTTCAGAGTGTTCATAACTGAATTAGTCTAGGAGGTGCTGAGCTTTTCAGTGGACATCATTCTTTCTTTTTCTAGGCAACACAAGGGAGATTACCTGGATTTGGATCATGAATGGCCTCCCCATGGAGGATGGTAGATTGACCACCAGCTCTCACCTCAGGAACCTAAGTGGACAGCATTATCAATTGTTTGTTTACTACAGTGGTGCATTCCATCAAGGATCACAAGTTTATGCTCTTAAAACTGCAGAGACTTTTCTTTTGGCATGTACAAGAGCATGGCACTTATTTGGAAGATTATAATATGGCGGAACTATTTTATTTGGGGTTCATTTTATTCATAGTTATAAAATAAATAACCTGGATCCAGCTTTTTTTTGTTTGAGTTCTCATTACTTGTCTGATCTGATGTTTAAGCCTCAAGTCAGTGCTACCAAGTTTTCCTTCTCTGCCTGATATGTTTCTTGTCATCATCTGGACAGAAGTTCATTGATTTAATTTTATCGTCACCTGATTCTTTTTCTTTTCTTTTTGGGAGGGGGATAGAAGTAGTGTTTTGCTAGTTGTATGTGTGCAAATATATTATACTCATTTTAGGAAGCTTTATATTGCAGCAGGTTTTGGCTGGAATTGTTACCTCAGTGCATACCTTTCTTGAGTATAATGGAAATATGAATCTGGAATTAATATTGTTTCGTACTGAACTTTTGGTTTAGTTATTTCTGTCTTTATGTCCGTTCTTCTCTTGAGTTCTGCTCATGATCACTTGCATGTTTTAGAAAATTGAGGAAATGCGTAGTTACCTTCTCCGCCTCTGTATTGTATTGGTACTATTCATATACAATAATGTATTTATTCAGCATGTCTTTATCTGATCTCTAATATTCTTCATGTATGTCTTCATCTCCAGGTTCACAACCTTTTGGCCCTGCAAATATGATGCTGCCTCCATGATTTCTGAATGTTTTGTCGTGAGGTATGATTAGTTGTTCAAAATTTTGTCCTTTTCTGGATATCATTTCGATGTTACTGCTATATTTGGGCTTGTAAATGAACAAAAATAAACATTATAATTGAGCTATAAGTACTTTAAGAAATGTTAAAAAAGAAGATAGATGCATGCTGTAACTGTGGAGAGAGAGAGAGAGAGAGAGAGAGAGAGAGAGAGAGAGAGAGAGAGAGAGAGAGAGAGTGCGGTTTAATGTGCAGCTATTTGCGTAATCTTGTTTGGAATCTGCAATGATGGAATGGCTTCAGTTCAGGTTTGTTTCATATGTTCCTGTTTGGAAATTTACTTTTCTAGATGGAGATTACTTTTATACTAAATTAAACCATTTTTCTGCATGTGTGGGGTTTAATTGGCCATTTAATGTGCAGCTATTTGCGTAATCTTGTTTGGAATCTGTAATGGTGGAATGGCTTCAGCTCAGGTTTGTTTCATATTTTCCTGTTTGGAAATTCACTTTTCTAGGTGGAGAAAAGAACATACTTTCAATGCGGCTACTTATTTGGAATGAATGTTCAGAAAAATTATAAGGAGTTGGACAATTTCTGGTAAGCACATGGCTCAATGGTTCATTCAGAAGTCTTTGTGATCCCGCATCACTTTGATTAGCACATAACTCAATGCTTCTCTGAAGGATAGTGTGGGTAGTGCATTATAAGGGATGCGTATTATGGAGTAAAGTTGAAGAGCGAGTTGGCTTTATGTGTGGATACAAGCCTCATGTTCTTGCTAAAGTGTCTTGGAAAGGTAGAGCCATGATTCCATAAATAGTTGTGACATAATAGGTTAATTGAATGAATCTTCTAAAAGAAGCTTATGAGAAAAGTGGTAATAAAACTTCGACGGGAGATTGTAAATGTTATTGAAGCAAAGGCAAGAATCAGGTTTAATAAGAGGCTGGCTCTGGTGGCGCAAGTGGCTCTTGAGAATAGCTACGAAGTTACTTTTAGGGCAAGTTTAATGAGAGAACTCAGGTCAAGGTTTTGTGGGTTAATTAACGTTTAATTTCACATTGTCGGAAAGAATTAGAAAAAAGGAGCCAAAGGAATAACACTTCAATTATTAGGCGTCATGCTTAGAATATGAATTCCATCTCGCAATCCTTAAAGAGAGCTCAAGAGTTGATGGCATTGTGTTGACTTGAATAATTCCTGTACAAGGTACAAGTTAGATTAGACAGAGAGGGAGTGATTGGAGGAGAGTAAGAGGAGGGTCGGCTAAAACTAGGGCCCATTTACAAGCATAAGTTGTGAGTCTTCTAGAATGATGAATTTACATACACAAGGCTGAAATTGAAAAAATATATATTATTATTTGACTTTTTAAAATTTTATGTCTGTGTACAATTTTCTTTGTGTAATTATAAGAATTTGCAATAAGGTTTCTGTTCGTATGCAATTGATCTTATAAGTTGAATTATATTCTCAGGTGGTGGTTTCTCTGCCGCGGCACAGGCTAAAAAGCCTAAGAACGGTTTCATTCCCTGTGCTTATCTGAATAGAACAAACCACCAGATGGTTCAAACATATCATTGGTTGACCATAAATCGACTTCTCCATTTTAATACCTCTGCTTTCATCCGAAGGCACCAGACACGATCTGGCTTGATTGGAAACAAACGCATTTTTTTTAGTAGACAAATATTTGTTTTCTTCCAGACAGTGATTATGTTAACATCCTTTCGCATCTTGAATTATGTACTTCATACCAAAAATATGAAATTTATAGTGGTGAAAAAGACAGAATCTTACTTATGCATGATTTAATTTTTTATTTGTTTTTGGTTTCTTGGGAAGTCTTGAACATGTTGTGGCTACTCAAACGCATCTTCATTCAACAGCTGAATAATATCAGCTGGGGGGGGGGGTGGGTTGGTTTCAAAACAGAGTCGCAATTCAATTCTTCTCCTTGCATACTGGCTTGAGGCTACACCTTCCATAATTCAACCATTTAGATGCAGTGAGGGGCATGGTGACCGGACCAGCCCTGTCCCTCACCGCGCGCAGAAGAACTTCTTGAAGTGTGGTGCCCACATGAGAGCAAAGGTGGCGGGCAACCTCGTGACTTTGAAAATCCTGTGCTTGGTTTAATGGTATAAAAAGGTACTCTCTACTCTCTAATTGGCCTGCCTGAGAAGGTGGTGGTCCTTCCCCGTTTCCATTTCCAACTCACATTCAGTGACTTCAACACCAATTATTAAAAAAAAAATTGAATGTTTATTGTATTTCTTGGCACCTTGCAAAATGCCAAAATGCATATGACGTACTATAGTTTGGAAAGCAGTTCACGATACAAAAACACCTGAAAGTGAAAACAAGTAGCGAGAGAGCGAGAGAGCGAGAGAGAGAGAATATGCCGTCGTCGCTCTCACATCCCCATGGAAATACAGGCTTCAAATTCCAATCAAACCCCATTTCTAACCAGTCACCGCTAACAGCTATATCATTCCCATTCGCTCACTACACCAAGACATCTCCTTACCCCTCTGCTTTTATTCAACTCACTCTAAGATCTCAATATGACTTACGACCACAATTTCCCAGCAAACCCACATGGCTTCTACCCTCAGTTTCCTTTCCACCCACATTAGCAACCAAGACTGGAAGATCATCACTAGCTCCACTTCAGTGTGGCATTTTGTCGAACAGCTGTAGCGCCAACGATGGCAAGAGGAGTTTCAGGGATTGGGTTGAGGTGGTTGGTGAGGCTGTATCAACTGCATTTCCCATATGGGTTGCTTTGGGATGCCTGTTGGGGCTCATCAAGCCGAGTTCCTTCAATTGGGTCACACCCAACTTGACCATCTTAGGCATAACACTGACCATGCTTGGCATGGGCATGACCCTCACTTTCGACGACCTTCGTGGGGCGTTGGCTATGCCCAAGGAATTACTTGCTGGCTTTGTTCTTCAGTACTCGGTCAGTAGTTCCATTTCATACAATATAATCCTCATAATGATTTAAATCCCTACATTTTGTTTAATGCATATGGCTCATTTGGAACTTGTTAGCGTTGTTCAGTCTCAAAATTTTGAACCTTTGCTAAACATTGGCAATGCATTAGCATTTGTGTTAATATCACAACAAACCTTTGAACAAATCTCTGAAACTCTGAATGTCTAACTTTCTTTAATCCTGCAGAGTTCAGGCTCTTTTAATCTTAGGCTCCAATGTCAACAACTTGATCTTTTGAACATTTCTAACTCCAAGTTGTTTTGTACTGGGGCTGAATATGTATGTCCTTCAATCTGTTTAGGAGCAAATTTCATAACACTTAGGATTTCAATGGCATGTTCTTGCAGGTGATGCCTTTATCAGGATATGCTGTGAGCATGCTTTTGAATTTGCCGTCCTATTATGCAGCTGGTTTGATATTGGTTGGTTGCTGCCCTGGTGGTACGTATGTTTGCCAGTCTTTTCATATGCATCCCTGTTTACTTCATCCTCACCTCTCTTTCCTAATTTACCTTCTTTTTTTTTTCCTTCTTTGCAGGAACAGCAAGTAACATAGTAACTTATATTGCACGGTACATGAATTATCCAAAATAGTATCATACAATATTACCTTTTTCTTATCTGTGTCCAAAATCTACTTTTATCCTGTGTAATTTGCTGAAAGTTCCACTTTGGTGCTTTAAGTTTCAATCGGTATTATGTCAATCCCATAATTTCCAATTTGTGTCAATTACGCCCCACTAGTTTCAATGTAGCAATGTCAACCTTGCACTTTTCAATTTGTGTCAACCCTGCACTTTTGTTTATCTGATCGGACAAGACAGACCACTGCTTGTCTCCAACATGATCCCAATTTCACATGACAGTATTTTTTTGCCCAAATAATCTACTCCAGAACCATTAGTCTCGATCGTGTGAGCAATATGGTCACTACACTCCCTCTATGTTGCCATTAACATAGTTTGCTGATTTGGATGGGTATGATTATCTTTATAAATATTTCAACATTGAAATTCCTACATTCAGCATGCTCCTTGTTAACCATCTTGAATGCTTATGCTACAATAGTTCATGGGGTGGGTCAGTCCCCACCTACTGCTCAGCTGAGACTAAAATGACCAAACTACAACTTCTAAAAACTAGGGAGATCGAAGTGTACTGTACCTTTTGTTTTTCCTCTCTGGCCAGAGGATCTGATGATCGTATTGTTTTGCCAGTGGAAATGTGGCACTTTCAGTTTTAATGACAGCAGCGAGCACTTTATCAGCCGTGGTTGGTATACTGGCACAACTTTCTTTTCATGTATTTTTGCTTTAAGGTGATATATGCATGGTCCGAAATTTAGCACATCTTTTGAAAAATGGTTAGAAAGACAGTTTGAAGCCCGTTTTCTGCTCAAACTTACTGAACGCTTACATCCTAACTAAGATTCTATCAAGTGTATTTGTTTTCTGGTTAAAAGTTATGAGGCACATCCACTTCTCTCCCTCTGGAAAAGATTAGTTAAACTATTAATTATGAGAACTATTGTCTTCTGTTCGATTCCTAACCTAAAGCGATATACTGAAAGCTCATTTCTTAAATTACCGACTGCAGCCATATTTTTTACACTGATATACCTTACAATAATGATGAGAGTGTTAGAGTTGTCTTATATTTAAAGAGATATAGTTACTAGTGAGTCAACTTATGAGCCTATTTCTTTTTATGATCAAACCTTACTTTTACCAATTCATGTTGTAGATCATGACCCCCTTTCTCACTGCCAAACTTGCTGGTCAATATGTTGCAGTAGATGCAGCTGGGCTATTATTCTCAACATTGCAGGTAAGCTTTCAAACCTATTGCCTACTTCGTATGCTGCTACAAATTATATTAAGATACCATATGCTTTGAACACAGGTTGTGCTTCTCCCTGTATTGGCGGGTGCATTTCTGAATCAATATTTCCAAGGCCTGGTTAAATTTGTGTCCCCCTTGATGCCACCCATTGCTGTGGCAACTGTAGCTGTTCTTTGTGGGAATGCAATTGCCCAGAGTTCTTCTGCAATCCTTATGTCTGGTAAACAAGTGGTGCTAGCTGCCGCTCTTCTTCATGCATCTGGATTTTTCTTTGGTTACGTACTTTCAAGGATACTTGGGATTGATGTGTCATCATCAAGGACTATCTCCATCGAGGTTGGCATGCAGGTTAGCATCATTTTCTCATAGAGATGGATTTTTAAAAGAGAATTGGTTCTCATTTTCATCCAGTGATTGTTCACAGTTTTCCACTGCTAATTATCTTGGAGTGAACAAGGCTTTGCAGCAATTTGCTAATTTCATTCTATAGGCAAAGGCACATGATGTTTGTGTGTATGTATATTATTCATGCAAGAATGTGTCATTTTGTATCATGGTATAATTGGTTGTCTCTGTGTAATTAAACCCTACTATTTCCGTTCTTGTATTGCCGAGTGTTCTTATCAAGTCTTCTATGTTTCAGAATTCGGTGCTTGGAGTTGTTCTAGCTAGCCAGCACTTCGGAAATCCTCTAACTGCGGTACCATGCGCTGTTTCCAGCGTTTGTCATTCAATCCTTGGTAGTGCCTTGGCAGGAATTTGGAGACAGAGTGTGCCAACGCAAAAGCAAGATTGAAATGTCACGTAGAAGCTTTAGACAAGCAGTATAAAACTTTAAAACAATCCTTCTGTAATTATATGAGCTGCTAGTTGTGGGAATTTCATTGCACATTAGCTAGCTATGGAGCACTTGGATTTGCAATTTTGGTGCTTGTCTTGTCTGTGAACAATTTGAACTTGAACATTTAACTTGCGTTTCAATGTGCTTCCTTTCGATATGATTTTTAACTCAATATTTCACATACAAAATAATTTGTTCATGAAATTACAATTATCAACGTAAAATATATCATGAGAGAGAGAGAGAGAGAGAGAGAGAGAGAGAGAGCTGACAACTAACTAATGATAAATTTGACCATACAAAAACAACAGCAAGCCAAAATAGGAAAAATTCTTCACGTAATCTTGGGAAAAAAAAATTAAAAGTTTTAGATACTTAAATAAAAAATAAAAAAAAGGTTTTGAATTTGTATTATTTTTCTCTCAAATTGTTATCCAAACCAAAGCCCCACCCAAGCCCAAGTCCAAAAACAAAACCAGGCCTCACCCAACTGCTTTTGGTCCCAAAAATTCATCACAGGCCAGAAAATTGATTTTAGCCCCAAATTCATGTGGGCGCTGGTTTTTAAAACTCAATTGAATCCCAAAACTCAACCAAAAAATTAGAACCCCGCCAAATTCAAATCTAACAATTTCCAATTTCCCACCACCACACCAATTTGTTTGCTTCATAATTCAATTCAAATCCCAAACGTCAAATCAAAACCTCCAAAGCGCTCTCAAACTCTCACAAGCCCCAGGCCCCCCTCAAATTGTTTTCCTCAACTTTCTTTCCCCACCAACCCCAACCAAGCCAACCAATGGATCAGAGATTCCATGCCCTGCCTCCTCTCAAGAGATTCAGACTTATGCAACAACAAGAGCAGCAGGAAGATACCCTTTTATCCTCGTCGCGCCTTCCGGCGAAGAAAAGAAAAGAGGCATGGCACCAGCCCCTTCTCCCTGACCCATTTGCCGCCACCACTGCTGTCTCCACCTATTCATTGCCTGCCAAGAAAAGGGTTTGGGCCTTCCAGCCAGATTTAATCTCCGAGGACCCGCTTTCGACATTGGACCTTAATGTCGAGTACAAGGTGCCTTTTGGTGCAGAGTCAGAAGAAGCAGTGGTGGAGAAAGAAGAAGAGGAAGAAGAGAAGGGTATTATTCATGAAAATGATTGCAGTGAAGCTACTGAAAATACCCAAGAAGAGAAAGGCCAAGAAATTACTGGTGATGAAGATGACAATGAAGAAGAAGAAGATGGGATTGTTTGTGCTATATGTCAGAGCACAGATGGAGATGCATCAGATCCAATTGTGTTCTGTGATGGCTGTGATCTAATGGTTCATGCCACCTGCTATGGCAATCCCCTTGTAAAGGGTATTCCAGAGGGCGATTGGTTCTGCTCCCAATGCTCGCTTTCTTCTGCGTCTTCTCAATCCACTGAGTCCTCTTCTTGCTGCCTGTGTCCTATCAAGGGAGGAGCAATGAAGCACACCAGAGATGGCAGGTGGGCCCACATTGTGTGCGCGCTTTATGTTCCTGAGGTGTTCTTCAAAGACCCCGAAGGCCGAGAGGGGATTGATTGCTCCAAGGTTCCCAAAAGGAGGTGGAAAGAGAGGTGTTATGTTTGTAAGAGTTCAAGGGGATGTGCTATTCAGTGCTCTGAGCTTAAATGTCCTTTGGCTTTTCATGTGACTTGTGGATTGAATGAAGATCTTTGCTTAGAGTACAGGGAAGGAAGGAAGCAGGGTGCTATTGTAGCTGGGTTTTGTAAAACCCACTCAGATCTGTGGAAAAAGGTAAATGTTTGTTTGTTTACAAATCACTTTCCTTTGAATTTTAGTTCTTTGGGTTTAAATATCATGTCTTTGATGGGGCTTTGCTAAATGGGTTTTGTTTTATTTGCAGCAAGAACAAACTGGGAAGTACAAGATTGTGGCTAGAGAAGACTGAAGAGCACAAGTAGTTAGATTGTGCAGATTAATATATAGAGCTTTGTGGTATGGTATACAATGGATCTGCTGGTTAGTGTTTGATTATTGGTTTTCTCTTTTGGGGAATTACATGTTTCTGTGAGTTTCAGATATCTGTAGGGTTTTAGTGTTGGCTTATTTGATTATTATTGTGACTGGTGATGTATTTTAATTACATTCTAACTTATTGTCGGTGCATCTAGCGCACAAGCTTTGAGCTAACTGGGTTAGATGAAGATAAACATTAGAATGACACTTCAGTTTATGTGATGAAAATTTGCTCTCCATAAATGGGATTTTAAATTGTATTCATGGTGTTGTGAGTCTTTGCCCTCTTGGCATTTGATGTTATAGGATCATTGCCAGGTTTCATCTGAATAATATTGTTTACAGTTATCTGGGGGGAGATGTCTGTTTTATGAATTTATCATTCAAGCAGTCAAAGGCATATCATATGCCAATTTGAATGAAACCATTAGTGTTGGATGATTATGACTGTTGTATTTTATGAGAACCAAATGTTGTACATCATTATTACTGCACCTACAACCAATGTCTCTCTGTCTTTTAAGGATGTCTCAAATTTTTAGATATGTGGTCTGCAATTTTGCATCCCAGTTTATGATATAAAATTCTGCATAAGTTAGTTGAAGGAAGACTTGGTGGCTTACTAGAAAATGACCAAAACTTGGGTTTGACTCTTTCATTTATGCATATGTGCAATGGATTTGTAGCTTTCAGCCCCTGCGTATGATTGACTGGTTAACCAAGCGATCTATAAGTCATACCTTTTGATTTGCAGGCCCTCTATTATGAACAAGGGACATCTCCGGAAAGTTAGGCATTCTTGGTCAAGGCCATTGCTTTTTTCCTCTGGCTTTGTTCTGAGCATCAGTGTGAGATCCAACACCTAATAAGCCTTTTAACTGCATACCCTTTGCACATTAAGGATCAAAACCGTGTCAATACAGTGGGGGAACTTAGTGGGCCAATTCTGCTATTTCTTTGCTATTAGAAACCACCTCAATGTTTGAATTGAAGACATTTACTAGTCACAGTTTCTAGATGTTAGGACATGTATTTGATGATTATAGTAAAGTTAATTGTTCTTCATCTAAGCAGGATTGCTTAAGATTTATTGGGACATTGAAATAGGCAATTCTGAATGACCAATTGTAATTTGTAACAACTTAAGAGTTGCATTTTTTAGATTCAAAATCCCTGGCACAACTACGAAAAATGTTGTCCCTATGGCACTCTTGATGGTCTCTTTCTCTGCAATTATGTTTTCTAATCATTACAACCATTACAGTTTTATTTGTGATTCTCTGGACCTGAAAATGATGTTAGAGCCTAATCATGGCGCCCCAAATTTCAAGGTTCAATGCTTCGACAAGTCTAGATAATTTGATGTAGGCTTTTAGATTGGGTTTCTAATCATCAAGTGTGAAATATTGCTTGTTAAACTTCCTTACAGATGGAGGATGCTGGAAATTCCAATTAGCACATCCCGATAATTACGTGCCTCTGATGTGTCTGCCTTGTTTTTTTTCTAGTTTCTAAGATGCAAAAGTCTCGAGGCCAAACCTAAATGGACTTTGCATCTATCCTCCTGCGGGCAATTTTGCACTTCAAATGTCAATATACAGCTGCAGGGTACGTAGATGTCTGTACATAGGCCACGGTCATAAACCAGAGCTTAATGAAGGAAGAAAGTCCAAGAGAGCTCTCACCCCTAATTAACAACAACTTTAAACTCAAACTTAAAACTAATTATAATGATTCTTGTTTGATCTACATAAAAGCTAGCCTATATGCCACTTTGCTTGCTAAACCAAAATAAATTAGTTAAAAGGTTTGAATGGAAACTTGAGGAAGAAGATTCAAATAAAGTGGCCTACCGCCCACGTGTGAATACCTCGTTTGAAATATTTCCTCCCTGTTCAGTAATTCAACAGCCTTGATCCATTAGCTAGCATTTATTGCATCTTGGGTTGACAAATGGTACAAGTGATATGCTCTATAATGGATGACACAAATTGACTTTTTATTTCTCTGCATCAACTTCTCACCACATTTCTCTATAAATACCTTGCATGGGTTGGCCTAAGAAAATCACAAACACCTTCTACAAAACCCAGCAATTGTTTCTTTGTATCCTGGAGATTATACATCGAAAACATATACTCGAAATTAGAATGATGTCCATGAAGTTGATTGGAAGCCTCAGCTGCTGCTTATGGCTAGTCATGGCCATAGCCACCGTAGCTCAAACATCCGATGACTCGAATGCTCCGGTGCTTGACACTTCCGGTCAGGCTCTTCAAGCCGGTGTAGATTACTACATCAAACCCGCCATTACTGACAGTGGCGGTCGTTTCACTTTGATAGACAGAAATGGCTCATGTCCATTGTATGTCGGTCAAGAAAACGTCTCAGGCCCTGAGGGCTACCCTGTGACATTTGCTCCTTTTGTAGAGGGAGAAACTGTGGTGAGGGAGGCAAGGGACCAAAAGATCACATTCTCAGCAGCCACAATCTGTGTGCAGTCAACTGCATGGAAGTTGGGTGAGACTGATCAAGTCACCCAAAGGAGATTGATTGTCACCGGAGAAGATCAAAACCAAGGCATCGCTGGTCCGGCTCGAAACTACTTTAGGGTTAACAAGCAGGCAGCTCTAGATGGTGTCTACAATCTGCGATGGTGCCCAACTGAACTATGCCCTACTTGCAGGTTTATATGTGGGTCTGTTGGAGCTCTTGTGGAGAATGGGAAGAGGTTGCTTGCCTTGGATGGTTCTGTGCTTCCTGTTGTGTTTGAGAGGGCTTAAGTAAATATTTGATCCATATTTATTATGTATTAATGGGATGGGAATAATCATGTCATATAGCTGACGTATATGATCAGTCTCTTAATTATAAATATAAATAAACTCTTGCAACTAATGTCATGGGGAACTTATAAACTCATCTCTTATAGCTTAATTAGTTCCACCATTATTATAATAATTAATCATCCTTAGTGCACCTACATATTTCATCCTTGTTTTATGCTTTTAGGCTTTAGCTTGACTTGACTTGATTAACGTAGCTTTCCAAATTCACGATGTTGATATGTATCATTTCCAATAACCTGATTTGTCTTGTTATATGTTATGTATATTTATATGAGACACACAATTACACGGGTCAATTTTGACTAGTCAAACAATCAACTTTTGAATTCATGACCATTGATGTGAGCGTAATCTGTGAAATTATTAAACCGTGTCTAATTTTCTTACATTGTTGCTTGTTAGTTACCGTTGTAATCACCATAAATTTTAGCCTGAGGGATGGTAATTAACGTGGTGGGTACTTATATGGGCTAAACTCCACGACAAAATGGAGCTATAGCTTGGTCCAATTTCCAACTACTTTTTTCATACCCAAAAAAAAAACCCCATAAAAAAACCCACAGGCTATGGTACAATAGATTGAACATGAAGTTTATTTATTTATTTATTTAAATTTTTTAAATTTTAATTTTTTATACTTCATTAGATAAATTTTAACGGTACAATTAAAGACATCTAAAATATCAATACCAAAAGAGCAACAAACTAACATAAGAGCATAATTTTATTTCTCTTTTGATGTAGGTTCTTTATGTCATGTCCTGGAGGAAGATTAATGGCGGTTGGTTTTCCTTTTGTCGGCATTGTTTTAGTTTTGTCGTTTTGGTTTAGTTTGTTCAATAAGATCCAGAAACTCTATGAGTTGTTTTTGTTGTTTTACTTTCATAATTTCATAAACTTTGTTGAATTTGCTGGAGTTCGTAGTCTCTTTAAGAGAGTCATGCCGGTTAACGGCCGGTTTTGTCCTCGATGTAATTTGACTAGATTTGAGGCAACTAAGAGGATAGATAGGAGTTTTAGAAATTTTATTTTTTGATAGTGATTCTCTCCGTATCATATCATTTCTGCAATTTGACCATATTCACCATACTGCTATTGGAATAGTTAGCTTTATAGTCTTTCTCTTTCGAACTTTTTTTGTATGTTTGATCTAATAAACTTAAATCACTTTTTATCAAAAAGTTATAGTTTGAGTTTGAATTTGATTTCGATACGTTACTCTCTTTTTCACTCAAGCTTCTTTTATTTATTTATTTATTTATAAATAAATAGAGAAATTTAGTCATATATCCATTCTTAGCACTAATAATATAGATAAACCATACACTATTTAATTTCTATAAACAAACCCAAAAAATGACAGCTGGCTCTATTGAATTTAATTTTGATTATTAAATTACTTTGATGCTCTACTGAGTGTTTTGAGATTTTTTTATGAGATTTTGAGGTTGAGTTTGTTTTAAGAAATTAATGGTAGTTTTGTAATTTTAAAAAGTTAAAAGCCTTTTTGTTATGTTGTAAATGAGTTTTGGGTGTGTTTTTAAAATCTATTTCATATAAGGTTTTTTATTATAATTTGGGCTCCTATATTGGATATAATAGTGAATCTCCCTTTTTTTTTATACGCAAAGATATTAGCATATGCCAACCACCGAAATAAAATCGATCTGCAGTTCAGACGTCATTGCAAACATCCTGTCTTTTAGCTCACTATACAATGTACGAAGTCTTCATCTATTAGGCTGTGGGCCTTCCAGACACAACAAAGTGGACATTTCATAATTCAAAGGTTGGACAAAGCAAAAACTAGTGTAAACAAGAAAACAAAACTGAGGGACAGATATATTATTCAACAGAGGAGCCTGATCATCCATATTAGCTAGCTTTGGCAAATCTATGGAAGAAAAGACATCCGGGAGCTTCTACGGTGGATCTCTTATTGTGCCTAGTGTTCAAGAATTAGCCAAGAAGCCTATAACCGCCATCCCACCCAGATACATACAGCCTCATCATCCTGAACAACAAGACCATGTCATGTTCAATCCTGATCATGATCATGCTGAAATGCCATTCATTGACATGCAGAAGCTGCTTTCTCAAGAATCCACTGATTCCGAATCTGAGTTAGCTCGGCTCCATTTTGCTTGCAAAGAGTGGGGTTTCTTTCAGGTACACAACTTTTTTCACTCGTTTGTCTGTCTTGAGGAATTAATGAGAAAATTAAATCACAATTTAGCATCAATGAGAAGTTATTGGTAGGTAATGTTGAATTGATAGAGTAACTACGAGTATTAGTAGTGTAGAGGAAAAAGTGTGTCCCGATAAATATATGTTAATTTGCTTGTGGATTTTTTGTTGTTGAAATCTTTACTTTGTTAGAAGTGGCCCTGAGTTTAAATTCTAAAAACGACGGTTGTTAAATAAATGAAAAGGAGTTCAAGAATTCGGGTTTAGGCAATTAATCATGTCACATGTATTCTTACTTGATACTAACTAGGCATTTAGAAAGTAATCATGGCCAACATTAAGACATTATGTATATATGTTACAGTTGGTAAACCATGGTGTGAGCTCTTCCTTGGTGGACAAAGTAAAGACAGAAAGTCAAGACTTCTTCAACCTAGCCATGGAGGATAAGAAAAAGCTTTGGCAAACCCCAGGAGATGTGGAAGGTTTTGGACAAGCCTTTGTAGTTTCAGAAGACCAAAAACTAGATTGGGCTGACATTTTCTTCATGACCACCCTTCCAGTCGAAATGAGGCGGCCTCACCTATTCCCAAACGTCCCTTCTCCTTTTAGGTCCTCTCCTCTCATCATCTCATCATATATTCATATACTTTGTGTGCATTTTCATGTGCATGTGTTTATGACTTCGTCAATATCGACAAAATATTGATGCGCATATAGACAGTCGGTTCTTTAAGCAAAGAACTGCACAGAGAATTTCTGCATACATGATATATGTGAGTATTTTTCTAAAACCGACTTATTGTTTACATGTAGAGAGACCTTAGAAGTTTACTCACTGGAACTGAAGAACCTAGCCATGACTATCCTATCACAAATGGAAACTGCTTTGCAAATGGAAGCCAAGGAAGTGACCAAGTTATTTGAAGATGGAATGCAATCAATGAGGATGAACTATTACCCTCGATGCCCTCTTCCGGCAGAAGTCATCGGTCTTACACCTCATTCTGATTCTGTAGGTCTCACCATCCTCCTACAAGTGAATGAAATGGATGGTCTCCAAGTAAGGAAAGATGGGATTTGGGTTCCTGTTAAGCCACTACCAGATGCCTTTATTGTCAACATTGGAGACATTTTAGAGGTAATCATATAGCTCTCAATTTCATATAACTGATCCTATGGTGAATACTTATGTAAATCTATAGTTCATGGTTCTACAACATAACATATAGAAGAATATCGACAAAAAAATAAATCGAAAACATTACCCCTGTTCAAACATGTCATTTTACAATATAGGGCCATAATGCTTACCTTCTTCTATTTGTGCCATATTTACTGATGATAGTGTCGGTCAGTTGCATCTCTCATGTAGATGGAACTAGACTTGATTGTTTGAGTTACGAGCTTTGTGAAAGATGTGTTCAACAGTAATTTCAAATCAAGATTCATATAATTTTATCTATTGCAGCTATATAATTTTATGTGTGTATGTGGGACTCATGGCAGATTCAAACCAATGGAATTTATCGAAGCATTGAGCATCGTGCAACAGTTAACTCTGTAAAAGAAAGGCTGTCAATCGCCACATTTCACAACCCAGCACTTGCTGGTGAAATTGGTCCGGCGTCTAGCTTGGTCACTGAGCAAACACCTGCAGTATATAAAAGGGTGGGAGTTCAAGATTATTTGAAAGCCCTTTTTGAACGTAAGCTTCAAGCAAAGTCTTTTCTTGATGAACTTAGGATAAAGTAAGATGGTGGTGAGATTTAGACAATATGTGAGCGTGGAATTGCAACCATGTATTGGTGGTATCTAATTTTCTGAAGAAATAAACCAAAGCCTGCCAGTCCAAATGGTGTCCAACTGATGAAGTGTGCCCTGCTTGTAGAGTTCATTTTGGGTATGTTGGTTTCTCTTGAAATGTGAAGAGGTTGCTGCCCTTTAATATCATTTGAAATATATAGCCCCTTATTATGTAATAAATGAGAATAATCATGCCCTACCTGACTATGATCCTCATCATTAGTACCTCCAGTCTCTTAATTATAAATAAATTGTTGCAACTAATGCGATGTGTATAAACTCATCTCTTATAAGTTCATCTTCTTCTTCTTCTTCTTCTTTTTTAATTTTTTTTTAATTTTTTATACAAACGATATTATACTTTAATCTAATCTCAACTTTGGGGAGAGGGATTCAAACTCAGGTGTAGAGTAGGGAGCACATTCGCTTTAGCTAACTTAACTAAGCCCATATCTGCTTAGTTCATCTTCTTTTACTTCATCCTTATAGCTTAAATAGGTTCATCACCCTTAGATATAAATAAAGCGGTGCACTTATATAGTTCATCCTTCTTTTAAGCTTTTAGGCTTTTACATTGACTTGACTTGACAGTTTTACCTGTTTTTGTTTTCCGTGAAGCCAATGGTGTGGCTCACATACGCGTTCTCATTATGCATTCTCTTTATCTAAAATATCTACATGATATGAGGACTCTCCCGATATCATTTGTGATGTTTGGCTAAAAATGTATTGTAACAAGTTTTGATGAAATAATTATCGATATTTCTCTCTATAAAAAAAAAAAAAAAAAAAAGACGAGACTTGATTGGAGTAGCTTTTCCAATAGAACTTGATTTTTGATTTGTCTGGTTGAGTCAAATACTACGCATATTTTATGTGGTACATATAACCTGCACAAATCAATTTCGACTATTGTCAATTTCTGAATTTGTGACCATTGATGTGAGCATAATCCAAGAAATTAACCAACCGTATTTTCTTAGAATGCTGCTTGTTAGCTACTGCTATAATCACCATATACCATCAGAATGAGGTGTAAAACCGTTGATGATACCTACAACCTCTAGTATAC